TCGGGTGTGTAGAGCCCTTCGTCTACCTATGTAAGTCACAATGGACGGCGACATACCTACTCCAGCAGATACAGATATCCCTGGCGGGTACCCTGAGACCCCAGCCTCCATCCCAGCCAAACGTCTCTCGACTATCAGCCGAGAGTTTTCACTTGCTGCCAACCGAGAAAGCTCTATATCAGCTGCTAGATCGTTGAATGTCAGTACCGACGCGTTTCCGTCGACGCAACGCGATGATGTGAATTATACCAATGTCGATGGCGGGAATGCTAGACCGAGTGATCCTAGTCCATCCTCTTCTAAGCACACTATTACAGCACCTCAAGCTCACCCAGCCCCTGGCGAAATATCGTCTGATGAATCTGAGCAAACTGAGGTGGAACGTCGCTTCGAACCTATTAAGTCGACGACGGATCGACCAAAACTCGAACGCAAAGAGAGTGAAGCCAAAACCGAAGATGATCTGTTCCGTGCCCTCTCGCGGCGTCGTAGCCTTACCTCAAATGCCGAGTCGCAAGGAGAGAACGACGAAGTCGAGCGACTGATGTCGCGTATGTTTGGCCAAGCTCGACAGCAGCATAGCGAAGAAGAAAAGACAAGGCACGCAGGTGTCATCTTCCGAAATCTTACAGTTAAGGGTGCTGGCCTTGGGGCTAGCTTACAGCCTACGGTTGGCGATATCTTCCTCGACCTACCGAGATTCTTATGGAATCTGGTGACTAAAGGACCTAAAGCCGCCGCTGGAAAGCCGCCCGTAAGAGAGCTGATCAGTAACTTCAATGGCTGTGTCCGACCTGGTGAAATATTGCTTGTTCTTGGTAGACCGGGATCCGGCTGCACGACGTTCTTGAAGACCTTCTGTAACCAACGAGCAGGTTTCGAAGACGTTTTAGGCGATGTCACTTATGGTGGTACAGATGCGAAGCGCATGGCCAAGGATTTCAGGGGAGAAATCATTTATAATCCAGAAGATGACTTACATTATGCTACACTGACAGTTAAGCATACCCTTACCTTCGCTCTCCGGACTCGTACCCCTGGAAAAGAATCGCGAATGGAGGGCGAAAGTAGAGAAGATTACGTAAGGGAATTTCTCAGAGTGGCAGCAAAGCTACTTTGGATTGAGCATACAATGGATACCAAGGTCGGAAATGAGTATATTAGGGGGGTTTCTGGTGGAGAGCGCAAGCGAGTCAGTATTGCCGAGGCACTCATTACTCGGGCCAGTGTTCAAGGCTGGGACAACTCGAGCAAGGGGCTGGATGCATCTACCGCTGTCGAGTATGTCCAGTCATTGCGAGCACTTACGAACATGGCCCAGGTTTCCACTGCTGTTTCGCTGTATCAAGCTGGCGAATCTTTATACAACCTTGTCGACAAAGTCTTATTAATTGACAATGGCCAATGCTTGTACTATGGACCCTCCGACAGCGCCAAACAGTATTTCCTGGATCTCGGGTTTGACTGTCCTGATCGGTGGACCACGGCCGATTTTCTTACGTCTGTTACCGACCCCCACGAGCGCAGTGTCAGGTCGGGATGGGAGGATCGAATTCCACGATCAGCCCAAGAATTCGCCGATATTTTCAGGAAAAGTGAAGCTTATCAGCGTAACCTTGATGATATCCAGGACTACGAAGCTCATCTCGAAGAGCAGCAGCTTGCTCGGGCCGAGAATACGTCAGAAAAGAACAAGAAAAAGAATTACACTATATCGTTCCCCCAACAAGTGATCGCTCTCACCAAACGTCAAGCCCTAATTATGTTGGGAGATAAAGCGTCCCTTATAGGAAAATGGGGCGGTATCATCTTCCAGAGTCTTATAGTGGGAAGTTTATTCTACCAACTCCCACCTACAGCAGCGGGTGCCTTCACGCGAGGCGGTGTCTTGTTCTTTGTTTTGCTGTTCAACGCGTTAATGGCGCTTGCTGAACAGACTGCGGCATTCGAATCTAAACCTATCTTGCTCAAGCACAAGAACTTTTCTTTCTATCGGCCTTCTGCCTACGCCTTGGCGCAAACTGTCGTGGACATACCCCTAGTATTCATTCAGGTGTTTCTGTTCGATATCATTATCTACTGGATGGCAGGCCTCTCTGCCTCCCCATCCCAATTCTTCATCTCGCTCTTGATCCTCTGGATGATTACAATGACGACTTACGCCTTCTTCCGCGCGATTTCGGCACTTTTCAAGACTTTAGACGATGCCACCAAGGTGACCGGTGTCGCAATTCAGGTTATCATTGTTTATACCGGATACCTAATCCCGCCTTCTTCGATGCACCCATGGTTTAGTTGGCTACGCTGGGTTAATTGGCTCCAGTACGGGTTCGAGTGTCTCATGTCCAACGAGTTCTACAACCTACAACTGGATTGTAAAGTGCCATTCCTCGTCCCTAATGGTGTCGAAGGTGCTGAAACACAATATCAGTCATGCACATTAGCAGGCTCAAGGCCTGGAGAGGCGTTTGTCAATGGAGGAGATTATATCCAGGCGTCTTTCAATTACTCGCGCGGCCATCTTTGGCGGAACTTCGGCTTCTTGTGGGCTTTCTTTGGTTTCTTCCTTGCTATAGCAATGATAGGCATGGAGAGGATGAAACCCAACGCCGGAGGCGCTGCCGTGACGGTTTTCAAGCGTGGACAGGTCCCAAAGAGTCTCCAGAAATCTATCGAGACCGGAGGCCGTACAGGTAATAAAGGTGACGAGGAAGCCGCAAGTTCTAGAGAGAAAGTTACCATCCCCGAAGAAGCCTCTGCAGCACAAGAAAGACGAGATGAAGAGGCCATGCAGACAGTCGCCAAGAACGAGACAATATTCACGTTTCAAAACGTCAACTATACGATTCCTTTCCAAGGTGGCGAGAGAAAGCTACTACACAATGTCCAGGGTTTTGTCAGGCCCGGGAAATTGACAGCACTTATGGGAGCTTCTGGAGCTGGAAAAACGACGTTACTGAATACTTTGGCTCAGAGGTAAGAATACCATGACTTCAAAGAGAAATGCGTACTAAATTCCTTTTCTAGGATTACGTTTGGTGTTGTGACAGGCGACTTCTTAGTAGACGGAAGACCCCTTCCAAAATCATTCCAGAGGGCCACGGGGTTTGCGGAGCAGCTTGATATCCACGAGCCAACTGCAACCGTACGCGAGGCCCTACAGTTTTCTGCGCTTCTTCGTCAACCGAAGGAAGTACCAACAAAGGAGAAGTATGCTTACTGTGAAACGATTATCGAACTACTTGAGATGCACGATATCGCTGGAGCAACAATAGGCGTGGTCGGCGAGGGCCTTAACGCAGAACAGCGCAAAAGACTTACCATTGGTGTTGAACTTGCATCAAAGCCAGAGTTGCTGATGTTCCTAGACGAGCCCACGTCTGGTCTCGATTCAGGGGCAGCATTCAATATCGTTAGATTTTTGCGTAAGTTGGCTGATGCTGGCCAGGCCATCTTGTGTACCATTCACCAGCCCTCTGCTGTGCTTTTCGAAAATTTTGATGAGTTGATTTTGCTCAAATCTGGAGGCCGCGTGGCGTACGCAGGCGAGCTCGGAAAAGACAGCCAGAAGTTGATCGGATATTTTGAGTCGAACGGTGGCCCGAAATGCCCTCCCAATGCAAACCCGGCTGAGTGGATGCTGGAGGCTATCGGAGCTGGCAACCCGGATTACGCAGGCCAAGACTGGGGCGACACCTGGTTACAATCTAAAAACTTTGAGGACCAGTCAAGGGAGATAGCTCAGATGAATGAGAAGCGGCGGAATGTTCAACATTCGAAGAACATCCAGGATGACCGCGAATATGCCATGCCTCTATGGACCCAGACAACGGCGGTCGTCAAGCGTTCCTTCGTTGCTTATTGGAGATCACCAAACTACATTATGGGCAAGATGATTCTGCATATATTCACTGGTCTTTTTAATACCTTCACATTCTGGCGTCTAGGCGATGCTAGCATCGATATGCAATCCCGCTTATTCTCAATCTTTATGAACCTTACGATCTCACCTCCACTAATTCAACAGCTTCAACCCGTCTTTCTCAACTCACGAAATATTTTCCAGTCTCGCGAGAACAACGCGAAGATTTACTCCTGGGTTGCATGGACCACGGCTGCGGTGCTGGCAGAAATACCTTATGCTATCGTGGGAGGTGCCATCTACTACAACTGCTGGTGGTGGGGATTGATGGGCTATAAAATGACTGGTTTCCCGTCCGGGTTTACCTTCCTGTGCATGATGATTTTCGAGCTGTACTACGTCAGCTTCGGCCAGGCCATTGCGGCCTTCAGTCCTAACCAACTGCTAGCGAGTCTGTTCGTCCCCCTCTTCTTCCTTTTCGTCGTGGCTTTCTGTGGCGTGGCCGTGCCGCCGGCCTCGCTCCCATACTTCTGGCAGAAGTGGATGTATCCGCTCACCCCCTTCCACTACCTATTGGAAGCTTTCGTCGCTGTCGCTATCCACGATAAACCTGTCACGTGTAAACCGACCGAGCTCGCGCGCTTCCGCCCTCCTCCTAACATGAGCTGTGAATCGTACACCGAGGGTTATTCTGCGCGCGCGAGTGGAATATTGCAAAGCGTCACGAATGATGGCCTCTGCGAATACTGCCAATACAAGAACGGGGACGAGTTCGGGACACAGTTCAGCGTCTACTACAGCAATATCTGGCGCGACTTCGGCATCGTCTGGGCTTACATCGTGTTCAATTATGCTGTGATTTACTTCGCTACGTACCTAAGATTTAGGGGCAAGAATCCCGTTAGCGGGTTCCTGGCGAAGATGAAGCAGAGGAAAGCGCGAGAGTAAAAGAAGCGTGGTGTAATTATCATGACACGGCTTTATATAGTCTGGGTTAGGCTGTGAGGCTGCTCCCGCGTGTTTGTGTTGTTTGAGTAATAGGGGCTGGGCCTGGTTTAAAAGGGTAGGGGTATTACATAGGGTTGGGCCGACATAGAGACTATGAATAGGGTAATATACATAGATGTATCGATTATTTAGTATACGTACCCCCATGTTGTGGTGAGTACCGTGTATTTTGAAACATATTGTTTAATGTATATTATGAAAAGTCTGGGACAGAGTAGAATCTGATAGTTGAGTAGTAATTCTACTAGTGATGAGATGTTTGCCATGAAGGTGCTCATAGCCTTAAATGTAGGCATGTTACGGAGAATCCAAGTAGAGAATTTCAAGACCGAAACGAAATGCTATTAGTAAAAGCAGACTCATCAAAAAATAAATTCAGGGGTATCATCAAAACATCAATGCGCCTAACATTTACCTCCTTCAAGCCATTGGATTCCTCTCGCTTTTCTCACTACTTTTATTACTCTCCACGGCCACCAGCCTTAAGCGCTCGCATTCGCGTTTGAACCCGCGGTGCCCCTCGGACCGGATCTGGGACCCGCCGCAGGCCTCCGCGCCCTTATCCTTATCTTTATCGTCTTCGATCATATTCGCCGGGATGACTCTGTGCAGCACGAAGTCGTCGCGGTAATGGCGGTCATACGCCTTACTGTCTTGGCGTCCGTGCTCCAGGAACGAAAGCTGCGGGTTGAAATGCGGGGATGATGTTGAGGAGGAGGAGGAGGAGGAGGAGGAGGAAGAGGAGAGGCGTCGATGTTGGTGTGTTATGTGGACTTCTTGCGTTATGAAGATTTTGTTGAGGAATGCGTCGGTGAGGGTGGGCCAGAAGGTTGGGATTGATGCGCATATGCTGGCTAGGTCGACTTCGAGGGCGGCGAGGATGATGCTCTTGGGCCCGTACCAGGTTGGGTCGAGGACGGGGTATGTCCCGGCTTTGCTGGCGACGATGGTTTGGAGACGCCATATGCTGAGGAGGTTTACGCTGTTTGGATTTTCTTGTTAGCGAGCTGGGTTTAGGTGGTAACTGGTATCTGAGGAGATGAACTTACACAAGCCCTAGAATCAAGAGAATTCCAATCCCCAACCGCTGCTTCCACGCCGTCGACTTCCTAAAGTATAGCGGCACGGGAATAGCAAGCACCAAGGCATCCAAAACCGCATTCGACGCCGTATGTCCGGCAAAGGTCCCGGCTATTTCCTCGGGCACCTTGGAGCCGAAGCCGTAGCAATGGGCGGGCGAGTCCCAGTCCCAGAACCCGGAGACCGGGAAGCAGGGAAATAGGGCGCAGAAGGAGAAGCCGGTGCCCCAGATCCCGGCGACGGCGAGTCCGATCCAGCAGACGGTTCGCGCGCGGGACCCGGCTTCGAAGATCCGGAGGTACTGCGATAGGAGACAGAGCTTTACTAGGGTGGTTGAGATGGTGTAGGTTGCTAGGCAGACGTAGAATTTCTGGGGAGGGAGTGTTAGTACGTACGTATTTGAGCTGGTGGATAAGGGGGGTGATATGGTTAGAGAAGTAAGTGCCTGCCTTTTGGAACGCGACTATATTGTCGTATCCGATCTTTAGGATATGCTCGCCGAACCCATTATTCAGCGCTGGGGTTCTAGTTAGCTGGTAGTTCTTCCTGGGGATGAGTGAAAGGCGATATCTTACAAAGACACAAGAATATCGAGCCAACTGTAGCCGATATCTATACTCGACAGTTAGTTCGACGTCCTCTTAGACGGCCGTTCAAGCGGGTGACTTACCCTGAAGAGCACCACGAATAGATCGTCCCAGCCTAAACAGCGTAACTTGATCCGTGTGTATATTCTAAGTATCACACATATATAAGAGACGGCCTGCGTTGACATGGTTAGCGAACAGCCAGTCCAGCGTTACTTCGATACGTGATCCTCACCATGAAAGGGATTATCAAGCCATAGACGGTAGCCCGGTGATTAAGCAGCGGTCTCGGTTCGTGAGAATTATCGTACGCCGTCATGAGGCGGACGAGCTCCGCGGCATCGTCAGTCGGCATGTTCGAGCCGTCGATGAGCTCTCCATATACCAGAGGCAGCGACCATTAATGCTCCGCGTCGCTATTACTCTCACCACCTCATAATCATCATATTCATCGTCGTCGTGACTACGTACGTGTCGGGAACTGTTAAAAAAGGCGGCCTTAGGCCGGCCTCGTCTCCAGCGCAAACGAAGGTCCGGGCCACCCGTTTGTTTTAAGCCGAAGGATCGCTGCTGCACCGTGTTTGCACTCACTCACGTTACTACTCATACATACATATACACATACATACACATATACACATACATATATACATATAGTTGATCCTCTCCCCGACGAGGTCCCCTTTGCGTCTAGCCGCATCTCGAATAGCCAATCCCTACATACATACCGTAAAAGACAAGGGGTGTGGATGTCACGCATGGCGTATTTCTGGTCGTCAGGCCCACCGACATTGTTCCAGAAGTTTGATACATACATACATTACATACATACGAGATGGCGGGAGAGTTCGCTGCACTAGCGACCCCTGTCTATACACTACATATGGGGGCGAGTCGCGGTTCTAATCCATGCTGGCTGAAAACGCGGGCAAGGCTCCGGGGCTCAACGATATTAATTAGCCTAATTGGAGGGTTATACCACGTGAGACTTTATTGTGTAGGTATGTATATATGCGGTGTGGTAGTACTGCGTGCGTACTTGGAAGCGGCGCAGCATTCGAGAAGTATCCGGCTTAATTAAATTTATTATTATCATTATTATTATTATTGCACGTTGTGATGGAAAGGGTACGTTACCGTGGGCGGATGTAGATAGGATCGGGACTTATATGCATAGGTTCTTACTATAATGCGACAGACGTAGTATAGTACATAGCAATGATAGCATCGTCTACACTAATAGACCTCATCACTAATATCAGAATGCGTACCCTGTTCAGTCTTTCAACCAAACCAAACCACATCGATAATTATATGTTCATCCAAGGGTCCAAGTATCAGCAAGGCTACGCATGATATACTATTTCACTATTATACCAAGCATACAGCTTCCAAGTTATTCCAAACTTCCATAACATCAAGTTAATTCAGCCCCCAGTCGGACAAGCCGAACCACCACATCGTCCTATACGACATATCTGCAGCAGATCTGTGCCATTTGGAGATATCGGTATTCTGCGTACGACGCGTCCGCATGATGCAACGCCGTTATGCAGACGAGCTACCATCGCTTCGGTTCGGTCGAGTTAAAACATGGCGAATGATCGAGTAGAGCACATCACCACCACACTACCGGCCATCTATTTCTCCATCGGGCCTTTACGTCGCTTTGTGGTACTATGTATGTATGATAATCCTCCCATCCCACGGTGTGATGAGGTATCACTCAAACGTTATAATAAGGTATATTCCGAAAGTCCTTGTCAATCACGCCAATCGCGTCTGTGAGCAGTGCCTAGGTAGTTTAGCCGTTCTTCCGCGTATACACTACATCCCCTTTACACGAGCCATATACATATTGGGAGACCCCAAGGCGGGGGCCATTAAGCATCTACATATGTACCTACATAGTCTTGTCATTGGCCCCTGATCAACGCCCACGTGGGGGAATATAACGACTCGTATACCGCCAGTTCGTACTACTCGGGTTACGATGCCCTTTTGGATGAAATGGTAATAATACATAGCCTTATTGAAGATAAACTTCGATCTCCGCACGGATTATGATCTATCGCATCGGGAAATATCTACAGGTCTAACTTGAAGCGTAGGGCCATCGTAAATATCGGAACATCATAACCCGTAGTTAGATCCATATCTGAAGCTATCGTCAATACTACCTATGTACAGTAAAATCATAGGCGCTGCTAAAATGGAGAAAAGCGACGAAAGCCCCTGGCTATGACTTATATAGATAGTGTAATAGTGAATATCATCTATTTTAGGGAGATATACTTGTAAAATTGATAAGCTAGGAATAATATACGCTTGATAGCTACAGAGTCGTAGTCGGTTGAGAGTTGATTGGATACCTATGTAGTACATGAATGCAAGTCGAACAGAACATCTGTAGGATCGCTTCGCAAGATATCACCGATATCAGAATGCCTTCATATCAAGCGTCATTCACCAACTTCTAGCATGTCTAAAGGATTACCTATATTTAATATATTCCATTCTCCTGGCCGTTACGACCAGGCATTATGTAGTAACGTATATAATCGTAACTTAATATTATACACTCCTTACGCCGCTCTCATAGCAGAGCTGGAACCCTCGTAACGCCGGCATAATCAAAATGCGAACCGAATCTTCACCACAAGTTCTCTCAAAAATCATCATCCATAGCATTAGCCCTACGTTCGCCAACCTCGCGTATCTTCTCTCCCAAAATGGATCTTCCGTAACGTTCGGCAACCTTATTCGCGGCCTCAATCATGCGTCCCGTACGGTCGCGCATGAGCTCGACGATTTCGAGAGCGCGCATGCCGCGATCTTCGCTCTCACGGCACTCGATGGCCAGAAGCTGTAGGAGCGTCTTGTCAATCTCGAGCTCGAGACGCGCGAGGTTCGACCGTTGCGTGTGACTACCGCTTGTTGAGTCCGCCAGGTCCTGTAGTTGTGCTGCTGTGATGCCCTTAAGCAGGAATTGCTGCTCCAACTTGCGCGACTCCGAGTCGTCATCTTCGGGCTCCGGTGTACCGTCCTGATCCATGGCGTCGGGATTCTTCTGCTTGGGTGGTTCAGAGGTGAGCGGAATAGAAAAGTCGAATTCGGAGAGGAGGGGGCGCGGGAAGTATGGGTATTGGTCGCCGCCCTTGAGGATGATACAGTGGAATTTGTTGTCCGCAACGGCGATCGGAAAGTAAGTCTCTGTCTTTCGACCGGATGCGAGACGTGGAAGAAGCTTAGTATCCAGCAGTGGTATCCAAGAGGCTCTTGACGGTTGGCGCCAATGCAGCAAGGTCAAGAGTGTTCCCGTAGAATCATAAATACACGGGTCCTATTGCTAAGTTAGCATTATCCACGGAGAATGAGGATATTTTACTTACGCCGTTATCAGAGAAGAAGACACTCTTTAACGTTGCGCCCTCAGGTAGTGCTACGGTATCTTCATTTTGACAAATTTCGTCCCTCTTTACGTTCTCGATGGTATATAAAAGTCTGGTATGCCCGTCCGCACCAACAGGGCCATTGCCGATCGTCATTACGTAGTCTCTCCAGCTTGTACAAGTAACCATCGGAGTACTCTTCGGTCGGTACACCTTGTAAGGGATGCCGAAGAGTGTGTAGACTCGAACGTAGTTCGCGGTGGTCGTGACAGTTACGAAAGACTCGCTTAGTGACATGGCGAGGACAGCCTCTCCTTTTGGCAATTGCGTCCTCCAATCGGTACGGTTTGTCCACGTCTCATGAGGTCTATAGAAGATCGTCGCTGGTGTGTCATCTTTAGGCGGACAAGAGAACAGAGTACCGTTCTCTGTTAGGCAGGCCTTATCGTAAAGGAAAGTATCAGTAAAATGGAAGTCTCTGTGAAATTCGTGGTCGTAGAATTCCACAGTAACTGTGTTATGTCCATCTTGATCTACTGTCCAGACAAATCCGATAAGATTCAGGCAAAGGTATTTTCGGTTGCCTCGCCACGGCGTCGACCCAGGTTGGAAAGCCTCGTGGTATTCCGGTTCGAGGTGAGGTCGCTTGCTTATCGGCTCGCCAAAAAGGTCAATATCATCATGCATGCGTTTCCCATTTCCATTAATCACATATCCAGCTCCGTCGTCATCTATTACAAAATCATCGTCGTCTTGCATTGGTCCATCCATAAGAGAATCATAACTTCCTTCTCTATTTCTTCGATCGAGCACGGGCACAATCGTTTCTGCAGGCCTTCTGATATTTGCTCCAATTTCTGATAAGGGATCGTGAATGAAAGGGGCAGGTTGCTTTCCAAGCTTTAATAGGGGCACAAACTGCTCTGGTACAAAGTCTGGATGAATGTAGACCTCACCATCCGAGTTGGTGAACGATACTAGATTATCTCTAGGATGCCATGCTATATCTATCACGTTGGTATAGTCGAGCCTGGCAATAACGCTCTGGGTCTTGGTCTCCCATAGCAATATCCTCTTGTCCTTGCCGGCGGAAGCTAATATGGCACCGTTCGGCGACCAGGCCAAAGCGGTAACTTCTCCATTGTGACCATTGGAAAATATTCGTTGCTTCTCCCAGTCGTTCTTAGAGACAACTTGGATGTCTCTTGTCGGAGTTGGGACTGCAAAGGCACGCCCGTCGGGGTGCCATACGATCTTTGCACTAACATCTGACTCGGTATCCAATGCGCCAATGACGCCGTCAACTTTCTTTAGAAGTTCTGGCTCATCAGATGAGATTGAATACACATATACGATTCCGTCGGTACAAGCCAGTGTAACAGTTGACCCTTTAGTATCGAAAGCGAGATGTTTCGTGGGCTTGTTGTGTTCCTTGAGGTGGCGGATTTGGCTATTGTCATCGGTTCGGACGAGCTTCACAGTTAGTTCGTCGCTGGCTACGGCGCACCACTTTGAGTCTGGCGAAAGTGCAACGTCCCGGATTGGAAGAGAACATCGAAGGAGGAACTTGTCGAAGGTAGCATCGGGTATCGAATAGAGACTGACGGTACCGTCTTCAGAGCCGACAACGAAGAATTCGTCGGAAGCGTCTACGCTAACGTTCTGTTCTTGGCAGTCGTCGATATTGATAGGCTCGCCATCAAAACCTGTCTTGTACAGTCGGATCGTATTATTCGAACCGACAGTTACCAGCTTGGAACCGTCAGGGGTGTAAGCGCAATGGGTTGAACCCTGAGTATGGGCCGGCCTTGCTCTAGGACGAAGAGGTGCTGTCGAAGCCATTTTGATATTCGTCTCTCACTTTAATTAAACGACATTAACAGTCAAAAAGTGAGAGTGAGCTTAAAAAGTTGAATTAGATAGGTCTAACTTAAGATAGTAGAAAATGTATGGCAGAAAACGCGTCGCGCGTCGACAATTCAATTAACGAAAGCGCGTTAGAGCAAACAGGGATGCCCCTCTCCCGCGTGGCCGGTGCATTTTATAACCCCACCTTTCTCCAAATCTACAATATTAGCTCTAACGCGATAAAGCGATAATGCAATAATACCATTTCTTCCTAAGGTTAGGTACTTCGTACTCCATCACATTTCAATCCGATTTTACTAATAAGAGGGCGAATTTCTAATGGCAGCACTAGTAGTATAACTATGAATGTAGCTGCCTACGTAGGCAACGATTTAAAGAAATATTATAAAATCGTAGATAGCTACGCTACGAAGAGGTAGTCGTCAGTGCCAACACAGAAGACTCTGCCTTCAGTATCATCACTTTATACTATTGATCTCCATAGTCGTCACCATGAACAAGGGAACATCCCCAGACCAGTTCTTCCAGACCGAGTAGGCTATATCCAAGAATATTTTATCAGTCCATCTATTTTAACCATGTTTGAATAGTGCCGAGCAGGCCAAGAGAGAAAGACGTGCGGCGAAAGCTGGTAACAAGAATGGCAATCCCATCGTCCTTAAATCAAAGCTGTTAGCTGCCATATCGGATCCTACCGATCCATCCTCAGTTCTTGTTGCCGAGTCTGCTGGATCAGTTCGTAGGGTAAATGTTGATGTGAGTTAACATAAAGACATCTTAATAAGAGCAGAGGTGTTGATTTAATTACTTCAGACGGGGGATACCAAGCAGGTGTACCGAGGTCCATCAGCACCAGTGACTTGCGTTGCTGTCGGCGGGCCCGGTAATAATACACTTTTTGCTGGCTCTTGGGATAAGAACATATGGTCTTGGGACCTAGCTTCTAAAACACTTGGTCGCAAATACGATGGTCATTCGGACTTTGTTAAGGCCGTTGTGACAGCCAAGATTGGAGGAAAGGACATCCTAATCAGCGGCGGTGCAGACAAGAAGATTATTGTATGGGACCTCGAAACTGGATCTCGACTCCATGTGTTGCAAGACCAGGCTGTGTCAATGATGGCCATTCAAGACCTTGTCGTCGACCCAGTGCAATCGGGACCTGACGAAGTCATACTTGTCAGTGCCAGTAGCGACCCTCACATCCGTCGATGGCGCATTCGGCTTGATGGCTTTGAACAGATCAAGGAAGCCTCGCCGGATGAACCTGGGGCGGTTCGTCACACAGTCTTAGAACATGATACTACGGTATATAAAGTGGTATTTGATTCCGAAAGCGAAGAGGTCGACCTATGGACATCGAGTGGCGACGGCACAGCAAAGTGTCTATCACGGATCAAGGGATTTACAACTGACGATTCCGTCCGCCACGGTGACCACGTGCGGGCCGTTGCTGTGACGGACCAATGGATAATCACCGCTGGAAGGGATGAGGATATCAAAGTTTGGAATCGTTCATCCGGGAAACTATACAGTATACTAGAGGGTCACTACGACGAAGTTACCGACCTAGTTGTCCTCAACGCAGGCAAGCGAATTGTTTCGGTGTCTATCGACGGCACGGTAAGGACATGGTCGCTTGGCCAGGCCGAGCTCGACAAGATTAATAAGGATAGGGAGGATAAGGGGCTTAAGAATGAAACGCCAGAAGAGCCCAAAAAAGGGGTTATGACAGCAGAAGAAGAAGCCGAACTTCTTGAGTTGATGGAAGATGATGAATGATACCCCTGAGCCCTGAGACATTTCGAGGCAAGCGATGAATTACTCGAAAACATGAGTATCTTTTACTAGATACGGAAATAGACAGGTATAAATCTGCTTGAGACCTCTTCGGGAAAAGGCGGTTATAATCGCGGCTGTCGGCCGAATGAACGGGAGGCTTGTTTCACCCCAATGGAATGAAAAAAGTTCACGTGTATGAGGCGGCCATGCGGCCATGCGGCCCATAGACCATAGACCATAGGCCAGTGTCCCCTGAAACCTTAATCTCGTACTCCCACTCGAATTTCGTTGGTACAGTTTGTCTGACTCGAATTAAAAGAGGCGGCTGAGTTTGAGGATATCCCATGTGCTACTCGATTCCACCTAAGTCACACCATACGGCTGGCAACAGCCTGACGGTCCCCTGCGGCAATAGTTGATATTCTGTAAAGAAATACATCATATATCGTCAAACCTCCTCATCCTAGTAGCCAGGCTTAATAGAAAGTTGCCAAGCCGAATTTAAAATTTCTCTACAGAATATAGAAATCTTCACATGAAGGTACTAGGATATGAAAGCCTAAATGGGCAACTTGCATCTTTTCGCATAAACTGTCTCGTAGAAGTGTGTAAGGAGAGGTATTGTGTATGTCTCTAGATATGTCCCATTATATCCTTAGATGGCCTTCAACGCGAGTTGCAAAGGATCAACTCTTACCTCATCAATATATTTTCCTATACGATCATCCAGACCGGGCTACTAGGAAATGTACGCCAACATGCAAACGATTCGCCCTTGTAAGCGAACTCCGCCGTTTGCGTTTTGGCACCCGTAGTTAATGTATGATGTTGGGCGGCGTAAAAAAGCCATGCCGGCCGTGCAGAATACATACATACATACATATCCAGTACTCGATCGACACAAGCAATAGGTCAGGGGGTATCCTGTTAGCGATCAAGCTAGGTAATCCAGATCAACATTTCTATTCTTCTCGTTGGTCATGGCGTGCGGGAGAGGTGGCCACATAATAAGCAAAAACACCCTCCAAGACCTCATAAATCTGATGCACGCCACAGGGTCTAATAAGGTGCAAGGGAGCAATCTACCTCGCTTGTTACGATCTGCGACACGGCACCGATGAAGAATGTGTTCTGGCTGTCTCTCCAACTGGAAAGCCACATTAGTAGTTATGCGGAAGGCCGCTCATCTGACGCAAATAGGTACGGTCGGTAAAGTTAACTCTCGCATTAAACTACCTATTGTTATTATTGCTGTTACCCCTTACTTCGTAGTTAGAATACATATCATTTTTAGAGTTGGAGGACTAGTGAACCACCTAGTTTCGGGGTCTGAAGACGTCCAACTAACTCTACGATGCCATGAAAAAATCATAAAGTACGGGGTATAATTACCTCTTACTTTTTCCATGCAGCCACAATCTCCACGGATCGCCAAATTTGCCTACAACCCGGGGATGAGCAAGGTAGGTACTTTAAGGTCCATCTGGACCTTGCTAAATATACCTCTACCTCATCTCATACCGAAAGTATCGTGTAGCGGGTATTCTAAACTCAATCTAGATGAATGGATCTTACTGTTCTGGACGAGAATATACGGTGGAACTCTTGGGGATATTTGAGCACGACTTCGTGGTTTAATATACAAACTGATAGACGAATAGCACAAGCAGTAGGTACTACTACTACTACTACACCAGTATCCTAATTAAGAGATAGAAATAAGTATTCATTCCTATGGAGAAAGATGGAGTAGTTCACACCAAAGTCCGGTATTTTTCAGCATGCAGATCCTTATTCTCATCAACAAACCCAAGACTGGCGTTTGCTCGTCCTGGCGGGATCACATACATTTATAGAAATGGTAACTTACTTTATACGATACTTTACTCGAACCAACACCGACTCCTTGCCTTGTCCCCAACCTATATTTACTTTTTTCTTTTTTCTTTACTGCTGAAAGATGGCTTGGCCTACCACATGCATGTATATTCACCGAACTCAAGTGCAGATGCCCAGACTCTTCTTCGGTAGTCACATATCAGATCTATTAGTCCGCAGTAGCCGCCCTTCGAATTACCGTACTTGGGAAACAATAAGTTTGATTTCGGGTTTGGAGACTCTAGACGCACCCCATGCGACTTTTAAGATTCTAACCGTGCAGGCCATGCCATGCTAACATTACTTCTAATGCTGCTACCCGTGATACCCCTCGTCCAAGCAGTATGAAAGAGAAAACCGTTTGGAAAGCGTTCTCGCTGCTGCACTTATAACTCCAGACACCATATATCGCCGTGTACCATGTACAGAGCTCGAGACCATTCGTTTGTAGTATTATCCCCAGGAATGCACGCCGAGCATGCAGGTGACTTCTTTTTACCACTTCTTCGACACTCGACTGGTCTTCTGCTACTTGCTTCTCTAAGAATTTCCTATTGGGGCTTAAAGTTCCTTCTCGGTCGTACTATCATCAGCATCTTCCACGATCCTGTCTATCTGATTTGTATAGTTCCTCCTCGTTTGGGATTCTCCGCCCCAAAATTACTACCCATCCATCCATTTATGCCGAACCCCCCAAGTTTATAGTGGTTTCGCTTAACAAGAGCTGCTATTCGGTTCAGATGGTCGACCCCAGTCCATATCCCACATTCACCGGCCTCTCCTAAGAGTTCCTATTCGGGAATTTGGGATTGGGCTTTTACGCCTTGGTCGAAATTTGGAATGTGGCGTGGTAGCCTACTAAGGCGACTAGACGTTGCAATTCTATAACAGGTCTTGTATACTAACTGGAGCGTGCAAGTCTTCCGGTCCTTATAAATAACATAGAGCCATAGTATAGACCGCATAAACTCATGGGGAGGTCTAAGGCGACATTATGGATGCTATATCTCAATACCATGGGAGCTTGATAGCTTTTGAAGGGCCTCAAGATGCCATATCAACTCAGCTCCGACTGCTTCCGAGCTCACCTAATATCTTGATCATCCCACCACTCCAACAATTCATGAAGGAAGAGAACCCGGAAACATCCTTCCATGCCCAGTCGCATATTCTAGCGGTACACAACGCATGTAGTGACAGAGCCGAAGTAGCACGGTCATTCTTACAAAACTCTACACCAAGGAATAAGCGACTGGTATTCATGAACGGGGGTACGGCGAGCGCCCAGATGGAATGTGTTTCCGACATCAGCAAGCACTTGACAGGCGGGGATTTTGCTAAAGCCGAACGTATCTTCAACAGGCTTGTTAGAAACGGAGCCTCTGGACTACAGAGTCGTTATACAACCAATGTAGATTTTGAGACGTCGCGAATCATCCCTGCCAGGCCACAGCCGAGCGACCGAGATGGAGAGATAGCTAGCGATCCGGCATCCGAGGCTATGAGAGCTGCCGATGCACTCGACCTCCAGACTGCCTCCTTGCAACCCAGTAATGAGATTGATCTTACGAATACAACTCGGTCCCGAAGCACGAGTGTACCGACCTATCGGGTGGTCGACGACTTCCAAAACGCAACCCCTTTCTATGTCTTCGGGGTTCGCAAATGGAAAGGGGGGAATACTCGCAACTCGGATCCTCCCCAGACTCCTCGTCGCAGCCATACTATCACAGACTCACGGAAGACTACTCGGCAAGCCTTGGAGCCGGCCGGGTCGCAAACGAATGAACTGGACAACCAACCAGGATCTCCAGGTAGTCCGGAAGAGGAGCATCCTAAAAGTAATTTGTCCCCTGCGAGTTTGGACTTGAGCAGCCCGCGATCTTTCAAGCTTGAGTCGATCCCAAACACACCATCAATATGTGAAGCATTTGCCGTCCAAGTTCGGTCTTCTGCCACGACCGCTTGCCATAAGAAGGTCAAGCCTGTTGATCGGATCTACTCCAGCACCATACGCAACCAAGACATTCTACTATGCAGTTTTCCAGAGCCGCCCCGGTCGAGGCCGCAAAGTCTGGATGTAAGTCTAGGGGTCCGCCAGGACAAGACAACACCTCGATCCAAGTTCACGACCGAAATTCCTAGACCTACTTTCAGCACACCGAATAGGTCTATGGTTAGACGAAACCCTCCCTCCCCTCTTAGGCTTCAGAAAGGGCGGCTACGGCCGGCGACTTACGTTGATCGCGGTACAAATCCAAGGAATGGCTATGTGGATAGGGGTACGGCTACGGAGTCGAAACCAGCCGGTGGGATTTCCAAGTCTGATACAAGGGATTCCATATCTCTCTATATTGAAACTCCTGCTGAAGCCGACCCCCATGAGACTTACGAGCCAATTTTACCTATGGTCGAAAACCTGGTAATATTCTTCAAGTCTGAGAAGAATGATCCTCGGCTGGAGGCAACGATTCAATCTTTCAGGGAGGGCAAATACCCTATATCTAAACCGCCGCCAGAACCTGAAGCAGAAAGGACTAGTCATCAATCAAGCCCTTCAAGCCAACAAGATCCGGAACTTACGGCCCCTGACAACAAGAGACATAGCCGTGTCCAACATGCAGAAGTGGTACCGGCTTGTCACATGGACTCCGATGACTACGACCCCTTCGCGTACGAGAAATACCCCCAGCCATCCCGTGTCTGGCCCTTCAAGCCAGACTTAAACAACCACAGACCTTCCACTCCACCAACCCCCGCCCAGACACCACCCCTAGCCATAGGAAAACTAGACAAGTGCTTCCACGACCTCACAACAACAGACTGCCGAACAGCAGTGTGCATGCAGAACTCGCTCCGCTCCATCCTCAACATCTACTTCCCGCCCGAGGACGCCGGCTACCACCAATTCAACTTCCCGCTGCTCCCCGAGCTCAGCAGCCTCTGGAAGCCCGTCTTTCGGGAAGCAGACTCGGGCACGGTTGTGCAGCGGAAGCGGAAAGTCGATCTTATCCTCGGTATTGGGGCGCAGCGGGGTGTTGATAAGGAGTTCCTCGGGGCGATTAGCGGTTCTTTGGAGAAGCTGGGCACGAAGCCGAATGGTGTTAGTCGGAGCGGGAGGTTGGATTTGAGGTGAGCATTTTGTCAAACTAACAGCCGTAATGAGTATGAAGTTAATACGTCGTCGATGTAGGTTCCTCATCGCAAACGCCATGCAAGCCTTCACCGCACAACCCCTAACCAACCAAACCCAAGACAACCCCTTTTCCAACCCTCTCCTCCTAGCCACGCTGATCATCCCTCACCTCGAGACGTACATGGCCGCGCACTCCGCAACACGCTTCCTCCTCCTCGAGTACCCCCCCGAACACCTATCCACTGTCCTAGCCCTGCAACGCTTAGTCGGCGTCGACCTGCTCAAAGTAGCCGGAATCCTATACTCGGCAGACCCCTCGCCGCAGCAGCCGTACCCCGGCTTCCAAGTCCCGCCCCGAACAGCGACGCACCCGCGCACCGACTCCGGGCCCGACATCCTGCGCAGCACCACGCGATCCGGGGCCACGCTTCTAGCCCCGACGCGCCCCAGGCACCGCGAGACGCCGTCGTTTGCCAAGGCCAATTTCCTGCTTACGTCCTCGGCGAACGAGTCCGAGATCGCGACGCTGATCTCGACGATCTGGAAGATCCTGATTGATATCTCGGCGTTTTATATCCCGGAGGGCGTGGCGTCGTCGAGGGCTTCGATGCATGCTGAGCGGGATGCTAAGAGGGAGGGGAATTCGCATTTGCATTCTCATAGCCAGGGGAGGCCGTTGGCTCAGACGCCGTTGATAAATACTTTGCAACAGCCTGCTTCGTTGGCTAATGCCTCAGCTATCATGGGATTCCGGCGGCAGTGTGTTGGTGACGATGATACTCCGCCGGAGTACAACTCAGGCATCGTATACACCGACACCAACCCACCCCCTCCACCGCCCAAGCACCGCCCTTCTCCATCAACCCCAACCTCATCCCCATCTCCATCTCCATCCCCATCCCCATCCTCCCCAGCCCCAACCCCTCCATCTCCCCTCCAAGCACCCCTCCCCCAACCCCCTCCACCACCACCACCACCACCACCCCCCTCCGAAACCAAAACCCCCCATCCCAAACCCGTCAAATCCTCCAAAGGCTCCGTAACTTCGACCCGAACCACCCGAACCACCCGTAGCCAGCGGAACAAGCTCCGAAGCATCCTAGGGCGGGAGCCGGATACTAGTAACGGCGGTATAGACGAGGATAAGGATAAGGACAAGGACGAGGTATGGGAGTGGGAATCCTGCTGGGACGAAGAGGACGTGCGGCTCGCGGCCGAGGCGCGCAAGTACATGCCGCTGTACGGACGGCGGGGCGGGCCGCGCAAGGGGAGCAGTCGGAAGGCGTTGAAGTGGCTCGGGTTAGCTACATAAGGGTTTTTCCCCCCCTCCTTCTTCCTTGTTTTCTCTTGGCTTGGATGTTGGGATAGTTCTTTCGGTTCGGTTCTATACATGTACGGCTCTCGGGGTTGGTTGGTTCTGATGGTACTGTACTGCGGTATCTACGTCTACCTCCCCATGTATGTGGTTATATTTCTTGGGTATTGGTTTTGTTGCATTGTACTGTACTATATTATATTAGGACCACGATGTCTGTATCTGAGTAGGAGGTGGTTGGTAGTATTTTCCAGCGTTGTATGGGGAAAAGGGGTTAACTCGATGGCTCGGGACGGTGACGATACAGGAAGATTTACGATTCGATGCTTTCTTGGAGGGTAGCCTCTATTCTTTTATATGTATGTGCTTCTATCTAGGACATATATAGTAGTTAGTCAAAGTCAGTTAGACACCGTATCTTCGTTGTTACTTGAGTGTGTATCTTTAGCCAAATGGTTAGTCTCGATGAATGGTAGGCAGCTTAACAAGGCCTACATTTTATAGGACTTTGCAACAGCTTATACTCTCATTATTATCAGTGGTCGATGCTACCTGGAACAAGTAGCAACTGATTAGGCTGCCTTGGGGTATATCAAAATAGCACAAATTCAGCATCACAAGCAGAGTCAAATTCCTATGCGCAAGTCTGTCTGATTAAGTAGCCCCTGATTTGCAAAGAATGCGTTACACCGGAAAAAGGAACGAGAGTATGGTCATAAAGAACGGGGAACGTCGACTATCTTTCCCTGTTTGTCGTTTCTCTCGATTCCCCCCTCCGAGACCATTGGAAAATACACACGAACGTAGAATCATCATCTCCCAAACCGCAGAAATGCCAGAGGTTTCTAGAAAGCAGCCGGACAAATTCTAGTACAAAGAAGGCTTCGCCCGAGTCATGAGAAAAATTGCATTAGTACGTAACATCTGAGAATTAGGCTGACAGCCTTTCCTCGACCATTATATGAACCCGCTCTCACATGCCAGAAGTGACGCATTGCGTCTCCGCAGAACGATTCGGTGGACGATTGGGCGATTAGGTAGGATCCAAGTGAAGTGATCATTTCATCTATCCGCAGTCAAAAGCGAAAAGTAAACACATCCTACCCCCTTGCCATCCTGATTACACATGCATGCCTTTCCTGCCAGCCCGTCCCAGGAAATCAAAATGGATGCGAGGATGTTGCTGTACGAGGGTATCATAGTTTGCTGATTTAACAGCAGCCACCGCTGGACGAGTTGGAGACGCTGTGTCCGGGGCCGACTTGAACGCCAGGCTTGGTGTTCGTGGTAGACTGGGTTCCCATGCGCTCCTTGATTTGTCGGGCCATGGTCAAGAAAGATTGTTCGACGTTGGAAGCGTTCTTGGCCGAAGTCTCGAGGAACGGGATGCCAAGGCTGTCAGCGAACTCCTATAGGTTCAGTTAGCTATCATGTTGTCATGGCAGGCAAGGCTACGAGTAGCGTGATGGAGAACTCCATACCTTCGCAACTGTGTACTCGACAACCTTCTTGTCCGACATATCGCTCTTGTTGCCTACGAGCAGCTTGTTGACACCTTCGGTAGCGTATCGGTCAATCTCCTGCAGCCATTGCTTGACGTTGTTGAAGCTGTCCATGTCGGTGACGTCGTAGACAACGCAGATACCGTGAGCACCTCGGTAGTAAGAGGAAGTGATAGTCCGGAATCGTTCTTGGCCAGCAGTATCCCACTATTTTCTAGTAAGCAAATGTGCCCGGAAAAGGGTGCATGAGTCGGAATATTATCCTTACAATCTGCAACTTCACTGTCTTTCCATCAAGCTCGATAGTTCGGATTTTCTGTACGTGGTTAGCACCTATACTGAGAAAGGGTATTCGCGGTGAACTCCACATACGAAGTCAACACCGATGGTTGAGATGTACGACTCGGTGTAGGTGTCATCGGCAAATCGCAACAGAAGGCAAGACTTTCCAACACCGGAATCTCCGATGAGGAGGAGCTTGAAGAGGTAATCGTATCTATCGAGAGGGCGAGTTAGCGGGTAACCTTGGGAACTTAAAACCTCGCGTAGCTTGGCTTGATTTTGTGGCTGGAGACCAGGAACCTGGGGAGTGTGGTAGGGCTCCATGGTTGGCGAGGTTGCGATGTTCTTAGTACAGCATCGGGTATTTTGGTTGGGGGCCTGGTTGATTCATGCTGAAGAAAGGACATAGGAAAATACAGGACAAGGCGTGGGGTATGCACTATTGTGTATCAGGTCAGTATCATCGTCGACGTTGCTGTCGCTGGGCGACTTATTTATTATAAGGGGCGTACGTACTACTCAGGATTCATCTTGACGGGGATAAGTGCGCTGCCTTAACAAGACAACAAGGTAGTCTAATCGGTCAAATAGGCGCTGATAATCAGGTTGAAGTCGATGAACAATCTTAGGTTAGATTTAATGTAGATGGGTGCGATGTGCGAAGGAAAACGGTTCTTCGGACGATGTAAAAGAAGAGAACGATCGTTAGCGTTGATGATGTACGAAGTAGAAAGAGAATTAATGAGACAAGTTGTAGGCTGCTGCGTCAAGGAACGTCAAGGGCCACCTGCATTCACCGTCAACTGCCCTGTGCACACTGAGATAGAACAGGACCGGGGACTCAGATAGGCTAAGACTGCACACTGACTGTTGGCGTGCTACAATTGCCAGCTGCTATGTACATAACGTAAGTCGGCAAGTCGGTCTAACCACCGGATCTAATCACGAGGCAAAAGCCCCCTTTAACTAAGGAAATACATTACATGTACATAATATACATATGAAAAGGACATTACATTGACACCTGCAAGCTAATGATTGGCAAGTGTTAATCTACCCACCCAACTGTATCGCTTTCGACTCTAGTTATCCTTTAATGTTTCGTTTGGCCTTTCTACGACAAAGGATGTTTCAACCATTCACCCACGAACACTTGTGCGAGATATTATTGCAAACAACACATGCATAGGTATTTAAATATGCAATATTATGTACTATATATTGTATTAAGAACTCTTGATTAATATATCGATAAAGAAAGATTTCGATAGAGAAAGACTTCGATAGAGATAATATCGGTAAGATCCGGTTAAGTACCACCAACCAACTGTTCCATGACTTTTCTAGTGTATATCATCATCGATCACGCTACGGAACTATTCTAGAACGTCCACACGGGTACCAGCGATGCAGAATTATTTCGTACAGGTGATCAGCTGAGGAACTTATCTTAGAAAAGAAAAAAGAAAAGAAAAGCAATGACCAGAAACATCAGCTGAATTAGGTGAGGGTTCGGTGGGTTCCGGGCTGAGAAACAGCTCTGAAAGCCAACGCCAACCCCTGCAGCCCTGTACAGTAAATACTCGATATAACGAATCGCAAAAAACATGGGTTCAAATTCGTTATATACTGAATTCGCTATTAAGCAGAAAAGATACATTGATGATGTACCTCCCAAAAAGGTAAAGTGCTTAGGCACGGGCTTACAATTATAAGCTTAAGCGAAATTAAGCAAAACTTTTCCTAAAATAGCTAAATGTTAAGCTAAAAAAGGTATAACCTCACATTTTATATAACGAATTTGGTGGTGACTAATCACCAAAACTAACGAATTTCGTTATATAAAAAAATTCGTTAAAATACATACAAATTCTTAAAAACATAGGATCAAATTCGTTATATCCTGAATTCGCTATGTAGTAGATTCGTTATATCGAGTGTTTACTGTACTCCCACATCTTCGGTATACTTTTAGTGGAACCCCGCTATGCTTCGGCGTACCGGTACCGGGTACTACCATACTTAAAATTCGACTAGGAAGCCGAAGCTTCACTTACATCATACCTCTAAAATCCCTAAATATCAATAACGAACTTACGACTATGTATTTCTACATGCTTTTTTGTCCATATCTGAGCCTCTGCGAACCTAGAGTCAGTTAGATTAACCTCTTCTCAGCTCGGACTAGTACTCCCAAAGCGAATTGATGCGTTTCCTAGCTTGTTAAAAGTTGCCATCGAGGTCCCGGATACATGTCCCTCTCAGCCAGCGCCGCTATTCGAGCGCAGTCCAACGCCGCAAGCTCAAAAACTGCTTTGCGCGCTCTCACACCCGCTGTTTACGCTACCTCCTCGCCTACACCATGTCCTACCACGCCGACTATAGCGTCAAAACTTCCTCCTACCACAGCTCACCTCTCACCACATCAGAGCCTACCACCAATATGGTTCAATTCTTCGTTTCCACGCTTCGGATCCGGTGATTCGCGAGGACCGGAAGACGAACGGAAAGTCAAGCTTGGGAAGAGTACGACTCCGTTTCCCATATTTAACCTATGCGAGCTAGGCTAACTTCGTCTCCAGCATTGCGCATTCTTCAAGAACGACTTCCTACTTTACTACAATCTCCACTGCCGCAAGAGATCTTATCGCCTAATATCTCTCTCCACCTATTTCCTTCGACACATCCATACCTCCCTACAGTATCCGGCCGAGTTGCATACATAGCAGCATTATGGACGTCCCCGCTAGCATGGAATCGAGTTCCCATAATCGGTAATGTCAAGCTAGAGATACTCTCGGAACGGATGGTCAGCCAACCATTCTACTCCTCCCCAAAACGATCCGAGGCATGCGGCGAACAATTAGTGGTTAAATGGAGAACGGCAGATGGCAAGCCAAAAAGCCCCAATCCAACCGTGACGGAAGAGGGCGAACAAAGGCTCGACGATACCCTCAGAGGCACACAGGCCATAGGCGAGAAGAAGGCATTTACAGGACTATTCATCTTCGAGTTCGACAAAGAGGGCCGAATTATAAGTCATACGATCGAGCACGTAGACGAGCACGGAGAATGGGAAAGGGGCCTAGGCGCTAAAGTCGTAAATCTAACAGATTGGCTACTAGGAGGTATTAAAGGCCGCCCAGAAGATAGCGGTGCCCCTGCACTATGCAGAGTTATGAACAAACGAGAAAAAGACCAACGGTAAAGCAAAGATGGCCATAGGTTCGAGTTTGACGACCAGAACTACAAAATTTGGAGGGAATGTATAATGTAAATATGTACTATACGTGTCGTTCTGGCAATAGCCAGTCACCACTCAACCTAAGAGGGCAGTGTATATAAATCATGTAGTCGTATTGTATCATATGACCATGTTCTATGAATATTCAATGTTGCCTAATGAGGATACTGCAACGGTCGAGTCGTAGCAGACCTAGTCGGCCTCGCGATATGCTCTGGCAGATCCGCCTCCGGGACCAACTCGAACTGCGCATTCGTCAGCGTCGACGTGCCCCTAGACCAATCCCTCCAGATCCTCTGCACAATATTCCCCTCATCCCCTGGCCTATTCTTAAAACTACTCCCTACCTCGGCCTCCGGACGCACCAACGGCCCTTCCCCCCCTATCAGAAAATGCGTAAGCTCATCCCTCGGCACAACCGCAACCAACACCCTCCCCCCCTCGATCCCCGCGAACCGATCCACGACGTGGAACAGCGCCCCGAAAATATGCTGCGACCCGGCCTCCCCGTACCGCAGGGCGCCGAACGCAACCGCCAGCCGTCGTACCCGCAGCGCTTCTTCGCGCCGCAGGAAATACGCCATCGCGCTGTTGAACCCGTAGCTGTCGCACGGCTCTAGCTCGCCGACGAGGTACAGCGCGTCCCGCTCATAATCGAACCAGACGCGCGGCCGCGACCACGCTGCTGCTGCTGCTGCTGCTGCCGCTGCCGCCGCAGTCGTGGACGTCGCGCTCCCGTGAGACGGGGTGTTCGCGACGAAGACGTACGGGACTTTCCACGCGAACGCGGGTTCGTAGCGCGACAGCGCTAACTGCCGAGTCTCGTGGTTTACGAGCAGAAGAGCAGGCACGGCGCTCGGAGGCGGGACCTGCAGGTCGGGGAACGAGGGCCACGGAGACGGGGGCTCGTCGTCGTCGTCGTCGTCCGGTGGCGAGGCGTCGTCGATGCAGGCTACTGCTACGATGCGCGGCGCTAACAGGTACTCCCAGATCTTGAGGCGTAGCTCGGGCGGGAGGAGGGGGAACTGGGGGAACGTGCTGTGGTGCGCGTGGTGTCCGGCGTGGGTGAGGGCTTGGGCGCGCGCGGTGTCCTGGCCGTCGCTTATGGTGCGGAATTCGAGGCGGAAACGGGGGCGTGGAGGGGGTGAGGATGAGGGTGCCATTGCGGTGGGTTAGGGGGTGTGAGATTAGGTGGTTGATGAGTGAGTGAGCGAGTGAGGTTAGGGCTCACTCGCTACTTAATCGCAAGGAGCTCCTTTCCACTAATTTAATACCTGCGACACTAGTAGTTGTGATATACGTAAGTTTGTTCCCCGCGTCCGTATAATCCATGTGTCTAAGCGCAAGACGAATGATGCAGTTAGCATTTCTTGGCGAGTTTTGAGTATAAAGTTGTGAGACGTGAGAATAATATTTCGGAGCGGGGAGTACAAGTACATCCCGAGCTTTGTAGGCCTAGCTCATTACTACACTCGTCATTTATACCTATCTTTATGCAATTATAGCTTCACTATTAGATTAGTTCGGGGAACTCAAAATTATCAGTGACGTAGCGACGGCATCCGTTAGGTGTACTAGTTCTATGTATCTACACAGACACTTGGTAGGTACCTATGTTTATATGTCCTGAAATTCTACCTTGGTAATATTTACTGAATCTATATATCTAATCATGTATCCAAGCATCTCTTCATTTTTATAAAAACCAAACCGTTTCGATTTGAAGGGTATCATATTCATAGTATAGCAAATAACTCTCTATCTCGGCCTTAACTCATCTGCTTTATCATAGGCTGCTGATCCGACCTCCCGTTTCCAAGCTCTATGCTCTTCTCCGGATCACTCTTTCCGTATATCAGAGATAGTAAGTAGCTTCCATGCACCAGATGATCACCCGAGGCTTCAGCCTTAGCAGCCTCAGCACCGTCGGTTTTCTTGATAATGGTTACGTTGCCTAAGCACGCTGACACGAGTACGCACTATTTGATATGTTAGTACTGTGATAAAAATATAGGTGGCTATATTAGAACTTACAAGAACCATGAAGGGCGTCAATGCGACGAATGCCCAGGTAATTCCGTTCTACACAATAGTTAGTCAATTCGATTAGAGAAGAGTGACATAAGTACTTACCTTGGCGCCCTCGATAACGTGGGCTTTTATCTCATCTGGAAGCTTATGCAAAGCATCGTAGTCGTTCTGGAAAGGTGAATCCTTCGAGATGTCCGATGTGTTGTTGAAGACAGCGGACATGATGGTAAGAGCCAATGTGCCTCCGAATGTCGTGGCAACAGCCATTACGGAAATTACCGTTGCGACGTGGTCCGGGAAGAAACCGACAGCATGTAGACTGCCTAATATGAGTTAGAAGATGAGCTATCTTAGAAGAATTGGACGTCTACTCACAAGGCATAAATCGTAGACCTGTACCCGCACCAGTAAGTGCCATCATGCCGTATATAGTAGGCGAGTGCTCGAAATATAGAGCATACGCCATCATACCGACGCCGATAGCTTCTATTAGGGAGCCGAGGAATAAGGGTAAGAATGTTTGACGAGGCCAGACGTTGCAGAAGTACATCGAGAGGTATACGCCGACTACAAAAGTTAGCCATATAGTTCGGAATAGGGGCTACTTTGACTAACCTCCAAGCCCTGGCGTATAATACAATAGCTGAACACCGGCCTTATCAGAAAGAAAGCCCTATAAGCGATGTTAGTAATTAGGTATATACAAGTAGATAAAATACTGAGCTATCCTAGCCTATATAAAATCTCACCTTGACAATGGTGAAGTAAATGTCGACAAAGTAAAGAACCTGTACAGTTTAGCAAGTTGGCTTTACTTCTAGATATGGCAATTTACTTACACTATACATAGCCATCCCCGTGGCGAAGTTGACGTATGATAAGAGGCCAATATTTCGGTTCTTCATCACGTTCCAGGGCAACATTGGCCGCTGGGTAGACAACTTCAACGACAATGCGCCGCCCGGGGCCATCGAGTATTCGTAGTAAAGCCAAGCGCACGCTATCAAGGTACCGACGATGAGAGGAACAAGCACCGCGGGATGGTTCCAATCGTAAGTTGCACCACCCCACGTCAAGGCCAGGATTATGAGACCAAATCCGAACAGAAATAGAAGCTGTCCGCCGATATCAAGAGTCATAATGCGCCTGGCAAATCTCTCTCGATGACCGGTCCCACTCTCGTCTAATTCGGGGATCGGCTGAGGCCCTAGGAGATCATTCCTCAGAAAGAAAAAGATAACCAAGATACCAACGAAGGCGATAGGTAGATTAATCCCAAAACACCACCTCCAGTTAGCCGCAGTGAGGTAACCGCCGATGACGGGGCCGAGTCCATAACACAAGCCCCCTACTAGCGAGAAGAGACTCCAATTCTTCGCATTCTCTTCCAACGAAACCTTGTCTGCTAGTATAGCACGAATAATCGTGTTAAGTCCCGCACAGGCAACACCTTGGAGAGCTCGACCGAGGAGAAAAGCGCCGAAGGCGGTCGTGGGAGCACCGGTACATAAGGCGCTGCCGACTAACATGATAAAGGAGCACATCTGGAGAGACCAGTGTCGCCCGAATATATCGGCCATCTGCGCCCAGAAGGGGATGAATGCGGCCGAAGTCAGGTTGAAGGCTGAGATGATCCAGTTAAGTTGGGCGATTTCGCCTGAAGTTATGTTAGTCTGAACACTTGAACCACTTCAGCGGTTGTGGAAAATAGTCTCATACCGAAATCAGCAGCAATCCATGGTAACGCACTAGCGACGCTTTTATACAAGTTAGTCCCATTATACTCGGATGATTTAATATGATCTACCGTACATGGTTACGTCGAGTGCTTGAAGAGCATAGGGCATGAGTAGACATAGCACAAGTTTCCATCGATACTTGGAAGCCTCTCGCTCCTCGGCCTTACATTGGAGACAGTTCCCGGGTTGGAAAGTCTCCTCTATGGGTTGTGTGTTTAGTCCGTCTTGCTCGATATTCCTCTCGTGTATACATGGTATTGTTGGTTTGTTTTGTTGTTTGTTATCCTTCTTCGACTTGAAGGCTCGGGTTAGTAGAGTAATCAACATAATGGTCAGATATCCCTATACAAGGCAATATGTCCAAAAAAATGACTTGAATTTGACAATCATCTAACATTTCGAAAGAGAGCTAAGTGAAGCGACCTCATTGTCATATATACTTCCAACAGCGCGAATCATCAGCGGCGCAGCCCCTTGACGGAAGACAGCCATCATATCCTATATCCACGATCCTATCTTCAGTATTTGGAATGCAAAGTTCGCATTCGCAAGCTGTTGGTAAAAGAAGCGACTATTCATAGGGCGAAGGTGGATGATCCGCCTTAGGTAGCATTGGTCTTTCTTACTGGAATAGGCAGAGGCTGGGTGCGTTGAGTGGTCAACACGTCATACAATTGGGTTGCTTACCTAAAAGAAGCGTCCATCAGCCTTAAGCGAGTGCGAGGACGTGGAGATCTGAGCGGAAAATAGAAACTTGAGCCTCACCCTATGTAATTTCTTAAAACATCCACCAAGAACCCCAGAGTCAGAGTGGCAGAGTCATCCGAATTGACACTTGATTTTCTGGTTGTGGCTATGTTAGGTACCTATCTACTATCCTATCTATTATCTCCTTAACTGGAACAAAATTCCGAAGATGGATATCCCCCTTTGAAATTATGTATAGAGGTACTTACGTAAGACTCGTGTATGGTCGATCGACTCCCCGCTTACATAACCCTAGGTCCTATACTAAATTGGATCCACTTCGGATTCGCTTCTATCTTTCTATGGAATACAGATGGTCAGCTTCTCTCAGCTAAGGGTAAGCGCAATGTCCAATTGCGACTAAGCTCGCATTAATCTCATTTCTGTAGTGGCTGCATTACATATTCGTACTTTGAAAATTTATACTTTTAAGATACCGATCGATAAATATTATTATGAGACCTGGCAGTCGAGCTCTTTTCAAGCGGTGACATATGATCTTGTCATACCTTACCCTCATTCAATTCACTTGAAGTACACTATTATTGGCTTTATACTTCCAAGGTTGTTTCGGATCCAAGCCGGTGGTCTCGTCGGATGAACGCAAGTAGTCTTCACATGCACTCAGCTATAACGTTGGATAACATATGACTACTACAAGACCAGCAATGGTAGATAGGTAATTATCTTATGTCAAATACACGAAACACCACTCCGTCTCGCTCACTAAGACGAAATCACCGAGAGATAGCCGGGAAGCACCGAAAAAAGGAACTGCTTTCAGTATCACCTACAAATATCCAGTACCTCGCGATACGCATTATATCATTCGACGAATAACGTCGGCTCCCGGAACGGCTAACATCTCTGTTACACGAGCGATTGCCGTACCGTCTCCAAACTCACGGCCCTTTATCTATCTGTAAGATGCCGAAGCAATGATAAGCAAACAACTGTAGATCGGGGCGGGACCATTCTAGCGTCCGGAAGCTATTGTAAGGATCGTCAGGTGCGGGGGTTTCCGTGGTCCATTTGCCCGGGATTCGACTAAGCCTGTCCTATCCTATCCTATCCTATCTGAGTTCGAATACTAGCACATCGGTTTGCTTCTTCAAGAAGCACTCGTCCGACCGAAAGGCGATCAAGCATTCGGATCGAGGCGCAGGTAGAGACCGAACTCATAGCCTTGCTCGTCCTCGGGTATAAGATATGGGCTGTTGTTTTTCCTCTTTGACGAGGTTGTGCTCAAGGTTGTTGACTCTGCAATCTTGTTAACACCTTGCCTACCTAATCTAAGCCAGATTCACATGCATTTCTCCTAGCACGCGTCGCAGCCCTGCATATCGTCATCTAACCCCCGTGCGCACCAATAATGGCTTGGCTCTTATAGTGAGAAGCATTCTCGAATAACCGTAAGGAAGGGAAGAAAACAGGTTGTTACTTTAAGGATTCCGGGGTCCCAAACACTCTGGCACTTAACACTGCAGAGTGCGCAGCAATTAACTCCGCTTTTTCTCCTTTTAGGACCCCTGGGCTGCCTAGGCACAGCTCTGCATCGTCAGCTGAGGTCACATTGGTCACGTTCCTCAAGGTCTATGCCCGTTTATATATCAATATACCTCACTACTATAAACGAGGCGACCTCAATCGCTTAGCCGATAGATGAACCAGATCCGTCATCTTCAGTTTTTATTCGATTCGCGATTAACGAAGAGAGCAGCACGCCTTTTCCTTCGCGAGAACGTTACCAAAATCCTTCAGACTACGGTACATAGTAAGACACTTTCTCTTTTCGAGGTGGATTGCTTTAGCGCGACCCCATTCCGAATCCACGAGCACGAGGGCTTTAAGGCCGCCTTTCCCCCGATTACCCAACCAGAATTCATCCACTTGTCCGAAGTCTACCCCACGACCTAGACTTGTCCTTTGAGCTCTTTACACTTACGACTCACGCCAGGCTGACCCCGTGGGGATGGTTACTTGTCAGTCGTCATTGCGACAGGCTAGGAAGGTATCTTTGGTGGGTTCTCGAATTACATAGTATGTACCCTTCTCTATCGTGTTCGAGCTCTGACCTCATCTCTTTGCCTGTCCTGTGCCTAGCCATTTTTGGCATCATTGTTACTATTCAGTGTAGTCCCTGCGTGACGTTCTAGTAGATACAAGTACTAATACAAATTCTAGAGAAAGCAACCCGTGATATATTACAATATTTCTGGCGATTAAGTTATTTGATTAATACAAATCCACTTTACAATAACGCCTTAAGGTCGCATATACAACCCGTCCGGGCGGTTCGCTAGACACGCGATCCTGGTTGGAGGTGTGTGAGATTCTGTTTCACCTCTAGTACCTTTACCCAGAACTCTCGGCAGTTTATCCCATTTCTCCATTCATATTATATATTGTCGGTCCTGCGGATGAGTATCTGGTTCGGTTTATTGCACCACGACCAATCATATCCCTTTGTTTACGCAAAGGATGTGCCACCAACTAGCAGCTCCATTCACACATGTGATAGCGAACTATATGCAATTGGGTTGACATCCTAGGACTTGGGTCTCCGGTCATGGATCCACCCTTGGCTTATTCACTGAAGACTCTTGTCTCATATATACTCGGCCTCCGAGTTGATTTATAGCTTCTATCCCCCTTCGATGCCTTTCCCCTCGTTATTATATGATACTACTTAACCCTTTCCCTTGCCAGGGCGTAGCTCAAGTGTGATGCCGCCCTATTGTCTTCAGGACTGTCATTACTTTTACCGCACGGCCTTGCGCGGCCTGAATATCAATACCTGTGTCTCGCCTTTATATACCTAATCTACTAGAAGTCGGCTGACATTATGCCTACTCAAGTTCGTATTTTTGCTATGCCAAAGTCTCTTGGCGAGACTCTCAGTGGCAGCTCATCAACACCTACGCTTCCTTCTACCCAAGAACGCAAAAACGAGAGGCCGGCAAGTCCTGAACTCAGGGGCCGAATTCCAATAATGGAGACGATACCAGAGAAGCCTAAGGAAGGCGGAATCACGTTTGCTCACCAAGACAGTTTACCTAAGCTACCCATACCGGACCTAGAACAAACGTGCAAGAAGTACCTAGCCGCTCTGAAGCCGCTGCAAGGACCCAGAGAGCATTCTGAAACGAAGCTCGCCGTCCAAGAGTTCTTGAAGAAAGATGGACCTGACCTTCAGAGGAAATTACAAGAGTATGCTATTGGAAAAACAAGTTATATAGAACAATTCTGTAAGTTGACTCTTACTATATGGCTATCACCTTTACTAACGGTTACTATACATAAGGGTATGATTCGTACCTAAATTTCGATAATCCTGTCGTCCTAAACCTGAATCCTTTTTTCTTGTTAGAAGATGACCCCACGCCGGCGAGGAATAACCAGGTCACTCGCGCGGCATCCCTCGTCTCATCGGCGTTAGAGTTCGTGCGAGCAGTACGCCGAGAGGAATTGCCACCGGACACAGTCAAAGGAATACCGCTAGATATGTATCAATATTCACGGCTCTTCGGCACTGCTCGTGTACCGACTGAAAATGGTTGCCAAATCGAACAAGACCCTGAATCTACGCACATTGTTGTATTATGCCACGGTCAATTCTACTGGTTTGACGTACTTGATGACAGCTCGGATCTTATTATGAGCGAAAGAGATCTTTCGATCAACCTCCAAACAATAATAGACGATGCAGCTCAAACGCCTATCCAGGAAGCCGCCAAAGGGGCTCTTGGAATTCTAAGTACAGAAAATCGAAAGACCTGGTCTGGGTTAAGGGATGTTCTCACTAAGGAAGAGGGGTCCAATAACGCAGACTGTCTCGGTATTGTCGACTCGGCTTTATTCGTGTTATGTCTCGACTACACGGAGCCCTCTACAGCAGCTGCACTGTGCCAGAATATGCTCTGCGGTACGAACGACGTAGTGAAGGGAGTACAAATTGGCACTTGCATAAATAGATGGTACGATAAACTTCAGATCATCGTGTGCAAAAACGGAAGTGCGGGTATCAATTTTGAGCACACTGGCGTTGATGGTCACACCGTACTTCGATTCGCCAGTGACCTTTACACAGACACCATATTACGGTTCGCAAGGACTATCAATGGCCAAGCCCCCAGTCTCTGGAAAACGGCAAGTCCGGACCCGTCGAAGCGTGATCCGGAGAGTTTTGGGGACGTTACCACGACTCCTCATAAATTAGAATGGGACATATCGCCAGAGCTTAATATTGCTATACGGTTTGCCGAAACTCGACTTGCAGATCTCATCAGCCAGAACGAGTTTGAATGCCTGGACTTCAGCGCTTACGGTAAGAACTTTATCACCTCCGCAGGATTTTCTCCAGATGCTTTCGTCCAGATGGCCTTCCAAGCAGCCTACTATGGGCTATACGGGCGAGTGGAATGTACCTACGAACCAGCCATGACCAAGGCTTATCTTCACGGTAGGACCGAGGCTGTTAGGACGGTATCAGATGAGGCGGTAAATTTTGTCCAGGCGTTCTGGGCGGATAACCCCGCGGAGGCGAAAGTAGAAGCGCTACGTAAAGCATGCCAGCAGCATGTTAACGCTACTAAGGAATGTTCAAAAGGACGGGGTTGCGATCGGCATCTATACGCCTTATTCTGTGTGTGGCAAAGGTTTCTGGACGGGGAAAGTCGTTCGGAGAGTAGCTTGGGGTACTCGAGCCCAATGGAAACTGGCTCGGAGCAAGGCACCGAGTCCGTGGTTGGCAGTCCTGGCAAGGAATCTGTACTATCGCACAACGAAGATTCGCGAATGCGGCAGCGCGGCGATAGCATAAACTCGCGTTTCGCAGACCAACAAGTGCCAGCTATCTTCGCGGACCAGGGATGGGACAAGCTAAACAACACGATCTTATCAACCTCCAACTGCGGGAACCCGTCGCTACGACAATTCGGGTTCGGGCCGACATCGGGCGGCGGCTTCGGCATCGGATACATCATCAAAGAAGAGGGCATCAATATCTGCGTGGCGAGTAAACACCGCCAGACGAAGCGGTTCGTGGACACGCTTGAAAGCTATCTGCTGGAGATTAGGCGAATACTGCGTATCACGAATAGACGCGGCACGACCTCACGGCAGACGCGCGCTAGGGAAATCGACCCGGATAAGCCGCGTGCGGGACACCATCGTCCGAACAAAACCCGTGGCCGTATGATTACAGGGGCGGATAACTTGCGCGCGCTGGCGGCGAGGTCGTCGACCGGGACAAGGAGTCCGACGGAAGAGAGTTTGATGATGAGCGAGGATGATGAGTTGGGCGGCTGTAAGTTTTCTTTCTTCTCCCCATTTCTTCCTCTGGAGTTTTAGATGACTAGAGCTAATATAATACATATAGACGGCTTCTTCGACGCAGGCATGCTTTTACAAGCGCTCAAAGCACGCGGCGAGGCGCTCGACCAGCAGAACGAGCCCAAGGCCTCGGATCGGGCGGCAGCGAACGCGCGCAGGAGGGAAATTGGGAAGAAATTGCGGCTTGTTGAGTATTGACTAGTACGGTAACCCTCTAGGAGCTTAGAGGGGATGTATGTATGTAGGTGGTGTGGCGTGTTGTATATAGGTGCCTACATACAATACTCAGTGGGTGGGTGGGTGTTTGTTAGGAATATATGGGAGCATAGGAGAGTATGAGAAGAAAGGGGAATTCTGTATTCTGTTGCTTTGATTCTGGTTATATCTAGCGTGGTTGGCTGCATGGGCTTTCATATAGTGTACAAGTTACCCGTTGAATACTATTTATTTACTTCTTGTTTGTATCCTATATCTCTTAAGCAGGTACTATGTTTTCAGATATCGTGATAAGTATACGAGTCGGTGATGAATGTCTACCTAGGCTAGACTGGGTTGTTGGTGTATAACATTTACAGTATGTTATATATATATATACCTTATATATATATAAAGGTACCTTGTAGATACAGCTTCGCAGCTGGCAATAGCGGTAGATGTCGACTTATACATATAACTCCGTTTCGTATAAGAAACAGTATCGAACATAACCAAGTTAGAATTAAATATGTATATACTCTCCAGTCACTAAAAACCACCAAATATCATGCAAGACCCAAACCCATTATCAAGCATCTCATCTCACAGACCACGTTTCCGCATTTGGTTTTATATCTCTATACCACACGTCCGACCGAGTACGAAGTTTAAAAACGCCACAATGCAAATACCGTGCGATCCCATTATGAACTACCTATGAACCATAGAAAATGTATACATAGGTAGGTTAGGTACCTAACTTAACCCAACCCAACCCAACCCATGCTTCTTTCTTATCTCATCTCATCTTCCCTATCCCCTCCACGCTACAACCTCCCTAGTTCCCTAACTCATGCAGTTGACCATGATGATTATCGTTGTAATTCCGCTCGCCGACGACGTTTCCGCCGGCCTCGTGCACGGTAGGCGGGACGTTGGGGATGGGAGAGTGTTGCTGGCCTGGGTAGGGCTGGTTGGGCTGCCAGCCGGAGTTGACGGTCGAAGTCGGGCTTGTGGTTTGTTGTAGGCTTTGCCTGTTGTCCGTGAACTGCGAGTTGGTGGGGCTGGTCGAGTCGTTCCGGTCGGGAAGCTGGGCGGGTGCGACGGCGGCGAATCCGGCGGGCTTGTTCTGGTCGGCGTAGTATGGCTGTTGAGGGTATCCGGGAGGCTGAGGCGAGTACTGCTGGCTGTAGTGCGGGTTGTAGGGTTGTTGGTAGCCAGCAGCGCCTGCTACCGGTTGCGTTGGCGGCATACCGGGTCCGGCGCCTTGTTGCATTTGGGCGGCGGGCGGCTGGGCAGTAATGTCGCGCTTCTTCTTATTATTGTGACGGATGAGGAAGAAGATTCCGAGCCCGATCAAGGCAAGCCCGGCAACTCCTCCTACAACACCACCGGCAATAGCTCCTACATTCGTCGAAGACTTCGAAGAGGTGTTTGAGTTCGAAGAACTCCCATCCTCACTATCCGCCGGTGTAGTCGCACCTGCAGAGCCTGCACTTGACGTTTGACTATCGTTGCCATTATCATCGTCGCCGCCGGTCTGAGTCGCGGAGGGAAACGGGGTTGTTGCGACCGAATCGTCCAATGTGACGACAACAGGAGTGAAAGTCCGGCCATCTGTTTCACCGTGCCACGTAGTGTAGAGTTGCTGCGGCGTCGAGTCCGACAGGGTATCACAGTAATAATCGACGATGCCGCTAGAGAACGTAACGGTGCCGCAAAACGGAGCGCTACTTCTCGTACTGCCAGATCATGAGTATTTTATACTACCTAGTTATTAGTACTGTGAAACTTACCACTTGACCGTGTAGGTATCTTGAATACACCCATTGTCACACGCGCTCGAGTACACGAAATCCCTATAATCGATACATGCGACTCGAAGACCACAACCGTCACTATCACAACAGGCGACGGCGCCGTATGTCGATGTGGTGACTAGGGCACAAGTTACATCCTTGCCGTTACAGCTGTATACAGCGCCTATGGTCATTATTAGTTAGGTAGTCATTTTTAGATAGGTATAAGATTCATTACCGGGTCGTCCATCGACGTATCCGCATGTGTTGTCAGGTCCTATAAGAACGGTTTGTCCGTTCTGTCTCTTGGCCAATTCCTGAATACTAGGGGGTAGGGTGATCTTGGGAGACTGGAAGGTTGGATTCGGCTTGGACACCAGGGTTGGCTCAGGATGGTTTGCGTCGAGAGCCAAGGCTTGAACAGCGGTGACTAACGCCGCGATGGATAGGAGGCTCGCCATTTTGGTATACTGGGGGGGCGACGTAACTGTAAGAACTGGACGTCTAGCTCTCCTAGGTCGAATATATCGGAATTCTACTCGACCACGGAATGTTACAGAAAACGACGGTCAGCTACGGAAAGAGAGACGAAAAGAGAGAAAGGCATAACGCGAGCGCGGGTGTAGGGCATCCACGCCCTCTTATTAGGAACGAGGACCTCGGACGGGATTGGCACAGTAGGTATTACAGTAGGTATTACCTCCCGCCCTATCCAGTACATAGATAAGCGACACCATTCAGCCTTGAGCCATACCTATTCTCGTATGGGGGAGATTAACTAGCAAGGATAGAAGTAGTCATAACCAATAGTGGTGTAGCAATGTTAGAGATGGCTTGCAGAAGCTGAAAGCCTCGAAGGGTTTTCGGTGGCTACGCCAAGAAGCTATACTCGATAGCTCCCCGCGAGACCTCTTGACACTGACCAGACTTGATTTTCTTCCCATATCAGCTTAGTAAAGCAGAGCGAGCTGAAATTCCTAATGTTGATCAGAATCATCAGATATGTGACAAGACTCGACCAGCATCGATAGGCATGCTTCGCTCCCTCGCAAACAAAGCCGACATGATCTTCGGGAGGAGCCCAGAGCGTTTTCACCACATGGGAAATCCATGAGAGACCCATGTATTTAGGTGCCCGGTTTGTATGTGTCGTGCAGTCCAATGTTACACTGCGGCTGGAAACACACAGCCAGTGCAAAGATTTGCAATTCTCAGCTTCCTTTCCTTTTATCCTCGTCGTTTCGTTGGACAGAATATATTATGTTGGAGGCCTACTGTGGATACTGTTCCTTGATATGTCTATGTAGTAGACATTGTCGGTAAGCATTCAGGTTACCACGTACGAAGCAAACATTTAGTAGTCTTCAAACTGTTTGTGGGTCTGAGAACCTTTGCCAAGCATGGCTAAGTCTCAAATAAAGGAAGGTCTGCAAGTGCTAGTATTTGTACGGAATAAATGCTAGCTACTGCATGTTGTTGCAAGTGTCAATAAACAACAGGAAATGAAATAATGAAATCGCGTATCATTGTGGAATTTTGGATCGCAAACTCTAAAAAGACCCCGATGAATTGTATAAGATCAAGTGCGGCAGGATAGAGGGGATATCACCTAAACGATATTAACAGGTAACTAACACTAATGAGGCATACTTAGGCGATAACCCACTTGCACTAGTTAGCGGTCAGTTTAAGCCTACGAAGAGTGTGATTTGAAATCGGGATGCTACCTGCCCCCAACCTTAACAACCCCACTAACTGCCCTAAACCCCGCCTAAATTAAACCTAACATCTCCCTTAGTTATCCCTTAGTTATCTTGAACCTTTCCTTTCCTATACCGAGGTCACCTGATATCGTGAGACCACACCAACCCAGACATTCGGTGGTGGACGATCTTCCGAGGGCAGACCGCGGTTAGGTCGGATCGGCTAAAGGGCACTGGATAGTGAGATGCAAGTGCAAATACAAATGCCCGGACCCCGAGCCCCATGACAGATCTGTCGCGGATCCTGCCGGACTTCCCAATCGGCCGGTACGCGAACCTGCTGCCCGCCATCGAGAAGCACGGCCTGACCACCGCCGACCTGCTCACCCTCCAGGTCCCCGACATCGGTAAGCGTACTCAGCTGCCGCTCCTCGACATCAAGCGTCTATGTGCCGCTGTGCTAGAGGCCCTGCATGTCGACCTTGGTGTTTCCGAGAAGCAGCAGCAGCAGCAGCAGCAGAAGCCGGGGGGTAATGCTCATAATAATGACGAGGCGAAAAGGGGCCCTACCAGCGTCTTGAGACAGACCGGCTCCGAGCTCCTGGCCAAACCTTGGAATTCCATTAGCACTCTAGACGACGATTTAGATCGTGCTCTTGGCGGCGGCATCCCTACCGGGTATATCACCGAGATCACGGGCGAAAGCGGCGCCGGCAAGACGCAATTCCTCCTAACACTGCTCCTCGCCTGCCAACTCCCGCCACCCCGGGGTCTCGGCCGTCCCGCATTGTACATCTCCACCGAAGCACCGCTCTCCACACAGCGATTGTCTCAAATGCTAACCAACCACCCCTATCTGCGCACCCTCCCTCCAACCGAGCGCCCAACTCTCGACGGCATCGTAGGCACCATGACTCCAGACCTCGAGTCGCAGGACCACATCCTAAGCTTCCAGGTCCCGGTCGAAGTGTCCCGGCGCAACGTAGGCCTCCTAATCCTAGACTCCGTCGCAGCCAACTACCGGGCCGAATTCGAGCGCGGCACCGGCGGCGCGAAAGGCGGCGCTAATCTCGCCGCCCGCAGCCACGAGCTCGTGCGCCTGGGCCAGCAACTGCACGATCTAGCGCGGAGACACGATCTCGCCGTCGTAGTAGCGAACCAAGTCGCAGACCGCTTTGCAGGGCCTGCTAAGAGCAGTGCCCCGCTACCATTCTCGCTGCCCCGCGTGTCGCAGGAAAGCCCGCTCGCAAGCCGAACCAGAGGCAGGCCCGCGGCGCCGCTGCCGCTGCAGCTCTCCGGCCTGGAGCCCCCTAGCAGCGGCACCGCCGAGCTCCTGCGCTCCAGCATGCCGGAGCCACCTCCCGAGGAAACCCCCGCCCCTCCAGCCCTGCTCCTCGACCACCAGCAGCGGTGGTTCACAGGCTGGGGCGACGAGCACCCGTACCCCTTCGGCAGCGGCGATCATAACCTAAAGACGCCTAGCCTAGGCCTGATCTGGTCGACGCAGATCGCGGCGCGGCTGGCGCTGTTCAAGAGGCCGGTCTACGGGCGGAAGGAAGTACTCGACGACGAGGACGGGGAGAGCACGACCGTGTTGCGGAATTGGCGGAGGTGGATGAAAGTTGTTTTCGCGCCGCATGTCCCGGGGACGGGGCCGGGACTGGATGGGGCGGTGGAGTTTGAGGTTACGATGGGGGGATTGCGGGCTGTGGATAGGAAGAAGAAGAAGGGAAAGGGAAAGGGAAAGAGGGCAGACGGGGAGGAAGAGGAAGAGGAAGAGGAAGAGGAAGAGGAAGAGGAAGAGGAAGAGGACGAGGGGAGAGAGGCGTGAGAATAAATATATGGCCCGGGTTTATGTATATCATATGGATGAATTCGGAGACTCTTGGCATATACATATAAGCCTTACTACAGTAAATAAACAAATTGCATACATACCACTTTGAATAAGAGCTATATAAATATAGCCTCGATTATGTTCCTGTTGCAATTTTCCTTAGAATTCAACACGAAATTTAGAATGAATATTTAATAACTACGCTCACGTTCACCAGAAGAGTTCTCTTATAAACAATAAAACCACTCGCAATTTCTTTTTATCTCGAATACCCCTTCATCATACAAGCTTGATTTAATACATACATAACATGAGTCCAAGCCAGCCAATGCCACGCCAGCAAAAAGGTACGCCGCCCAATGCATATAAGTGATATCTTGCAATCGCAACTGTAATTTTCCATTCCATTCCATAAGTTCCATACTACATATATGTACCTATTCCACTACCTCGGGTGCGGGAACTCGTCTTCCAACTGTAGTCGCACGCCGACGTTCATGCTAATAAGTTCCTGTATGAGCAGCTTCGCGGCATACGGCATAGTCATGCGCGCGACCTCGCGGCTGCTGTGGCACGTGCTACAGTAGCCCTTGTACCCGAACAAGCCGCACCGCTCGCAGATGTCGATCTCGGTCGCGTCGGAGCTGATCATCAGGCGTTCGAGGAGGAGCTGCGAGGCACCGTACGCGATGAGACAATCGCGCTCCATTTCACCGAGACGCAGACCACCGTCTCGGGAACGACCTTCGGTAGGCTGGCGGGTGAGGATGGCGCGGGGTCCGCGCGAGCGGGAGTGCATCTTGTCTTGGACCATGTGCTTCAGTCGCTGGTAGAAGATAGGCCCGTTGAAGATGTAAGCCTGGAGCGGCTCGCCTGTTATTCCCGAGGTAAAGTAATCTTTGCCTTCCCAAGAGAATCCGGCATTAACTAGTTCTCTGCTCATGGCTTCGAGGGGATGAGACCTGAAGGCATCGCCATATCCGTAGTCCTTGCGCCCCTTGACTACCGAGGCTTTTCCTGTTAGGCATTCCAGTAACTTGCCGACTGTCATACGAGACGGGAAACCGTGGGGGTTCATGATGATATCAGGTACGAGGCCTGAATCCGAGAACGGCAGATCTTCCTGGTCCACAATGATTCCAACAACACCTTTCTGTCCGTGCCTGGACGAAAACTTGTCGCCTAATTCAGGTCTTCTGGTCTGTCTCGTTTGGACCTTGATGAGCTGTGTCTCCCTCTCAGTCTGCGTAACCATAACTTTGTCAATGTAAGCTGGATCTGATAGTCGGTACGACAATGGTGTTTCGCGGTACTCTTGGGTCCTCTGGCCTACTCCGACTACTGGTGCTATGTCCACCGGGCTCTCCTTTTTGATGAGGATGTCACCACTCCTAACGGGGTACCCTACATCGGCCAAACCGTCATTGGAGAGCGCATTATACTTGGATTGAGTTTCATCCTTATCGCCGATCCTTTCTCGGCTTCCATTGGCATATTTTTGAAGATCCGCTGTGTATTTGCGGAACACTTGGACTCGTCCAAATCCACGATCACAGGATGCCTTGTTCAGAACAAGGGCATCTTCAATATCGTAACCTGAATATGACATGACGACAACAGTCGCATTTTGCCCGGCAGGCAACTTGTCGTAGTGAATAAGCTCGATGGTCTTACTGATGACCATTGGGCGCTGAGGGTAGACCATAGTGTATAAGAGGGTGTCGATGCGGTTGAATTGGTTGTAAGCAATAGCTCCGATAGCTTGTTTACCCATAGCGCATTGATACGTATTTCTGGGGGACTGGTTGTGATGAGGGAATGGAATTAAGCCGGCCACAGCGCCAAGTATCGTGAATGGCTCAATTTCCAGATGCGTTGTCGCTTTCGTGATATCTTTTTCATAGAGTGCTACTAGCGTGTCATTCTCTTCGTTGACGTCGAGGTACTCGACAATGCCTTGCTTCAGAAAGTCATCAAACGTGACCTTTCCAGCTTGTAGCAATCTAAGATGACTATCCTTTATTCTCGCCTCGCCGTTCTTCACTATAATGTACGGTCGACAGATACGTCCTTCGTCGGTTGCGATATGCACAGCTGAAAGATGGGTGTTGACATTAATGCCGACAAATGGGGATATCCACCCTCGTCGTCTCATAGTGCGGAATTTAGCTGCGAACCGCTTCGGGTATCGGGAGAGAGCAAATGGAGTGCCGTTAATATGGACGATATACGTGCCCTTCCTATGCATCTGAGCACCGGAGAAGCATCGGAGCGGTTCAACTCCAGAGTCCAATGTAAACACCATCTTTTTAACAGGATCCTCATCCACGTTGGTCGTGATATGCGTCATGAGGGCCAAGTTTTTAATCAAACCACAGGCCTCACCTTCGGGTGTATCAGACGGACAAAGCATACCCCACTGAGATGGCTGTAGAGCACGAGGACCACTGACTTTCCTCGTCTTTTCGAATTGACTGCTTATACGAGTCATCATTCCGAGGGCGCTGATGTAGCTGAGACGGCTCAGAACGTGTGTTACGCCGGCACGGTCCATCTTAAATCGCTTCACGCTCCAATTTCCAGTTTGAATAGCACGGTTCATACCCTCAGTGATGTGCTTTCCTTGAGCACCAACCTGTACCAGAGGATCTACGGCGATTGCCCGATTTTGCTTCCTCAGGGAGTGCTCGACGTTGAACTTGAGCTGTGTCATAAAATTCTTGAATAAATCTTCAAAAAGCAAAGACAGAAGTTGCCCTGCCAACTCTAGTCGCTTGTTACCCACGAAATCTCGGTCGTCCACAAGCTTAGGGTTGTAATGGGCCATAAGTACTCGGCGAACCATGAGAGCGATATAGATAGCTTTTGGGTAAAAGTCTAGACCCTCGACCGGTATGTGAGCAATAATGAGGTTAGCTAAGGCATCGAGACCTTCCTCGATAGTACTACGCCGAGCTTGTGGCGGTCCTCCAGGCTGTTTTGCTCGACCGCCCATCTTCACTCTTGCTCCGATGTAATCTAAAGCCTGCTGCTGAGTAAAGACACCGACCCTGGTTGCTTCCTCGAAATTTACAGCAAAATCATCCTGGAACCTTCCATCGGAACCAGTAACGAGCTCCATGATCTCGTAGTCCGTAAGACCACCAAGAGCTTTGAGGATGATAACTATGGGTATAGCTTCGACGAGAACGTTGTGCTGAAGAACAATCCGGTCCTTCTTCAGGGTAACGTATGTTTTGGACTTTCTCTCGTGTGTAGAACTCGTCACTGAAGCTGTGATTATACTATTCTTCTCGTCTGCCTCGACAATGACTCGATTCTTGCTCAGCTGCTCCTGGACAAGAATAACCTTTTCCGTCCCGTTGATGATGAAATACCCTCCAGGATCAAGGGGACATTCGTTCATGAGCTCCATCTGGGCATTGTTTGCACCGTACAGCCGGCATTTGTTGCTCCGCAACATAACAGGCATACGAGCAAGCTCGACATTGCGGCGAATAATCTTCTGCTTTTCTCGTGTGTATGCAATATCCACGAGAATCTTAGCAGAGTAAGTGATATCCCGTAGGCGGCATTCCATAGGGGTGATATCATTTTCGACCCTATATTCACTGAAGTCGGAACGATCCGGAGGTGCAACCCGGATGTCTATAAATTCGATCCAAAAGCTGCTGTCAACATCGCTTCTAAGCGTGCGGTTGGCCTTGACAATTTCTTTAATTTCATGATCTACGAAGAAATTGTAGGAGTCGATATGTCTAAGCCCATTAATTAGTATCAACCAGCCGCATATCATAACCATCAGACGAAACGTACTGTTTGACCAGACCTAATAGAATAATATATTAGCGTACCGTAAATACCCGCTTGATCACAATGCAGATCGCATACATACCTTTGACCTTCAAAAAAGCCGGAAGTAGTTGATTCTTATCATCAACAGTCGAAATAGGGTCCGTCAACTTCTTTCCGTTGTAAAAAGGCTCTAATAGAGCCTCAAATCCGTCATCGATATAAGGCATTTTGACGGCCAAGCATTTTTATATATTGGCGTCTGAGTGATAAGTGATTGTGAGATGACTCTTAAAAATTCAGCCTCCTTAATGAAGAGCTCGTCGCGTGTGGCGGCCTGTTCCTGTCCCCCACCAAAGAAAAAAAAATGGAGGGGCCGCCACTAAGTACCTAGGTACGTACATATGTACCTTAGACCTCGAATGCTTATATAAGCACATGATTATATAAGATTCTTGGATGGGGTTTTCTACATGTACCTAGGTACCGCGAATAGGATCTTATCTCTAAATTATAGCCCACGTCGAACAAATCGAAGCTTTCAAAATTATGGAACTACATGTAGCTAAATGAATCTGTGGATGACTCCACGGGGAAAGAGTTGATGAGACAAACAGATACGACCCGGGGACTTTTTTAACGTCTCACCTAACGATATCAATCCGAAAATCCACATTCTTTGGTATTTACATGTTCCGATGGGATTAATAATTTGAAATAATACCGGGAACCATACTAAGAAACCGGGGAATATTATTTCTCTACGTCAACACACACACATATATATATACGCGTATTAAATGTCGTCACGCTTATCAAGGTCTATCTCGGTACTCATTTGAGTCACCACGATGGGACCTTTCTCTCCGCCCAACATCCACGCTGCCATGCAAGCTTCCTATTTGGAAATCATCTCTATTTTTACCCAAAGGCTGTCCTCCCTTTCGATAGCTACCAGGGACATGCATGTGTAAAGAATCCAATGAGCGGGTAGACGGGGTTTGGCCGAATGCCAAGAACCAAGCTCAACCATATAATGAGCCATTTGAACCCCTCTTTACCCCTCCATCAACTTCGTCCGTAGAGTTACTGCCCCTCGTCTTAACCACCTCTGCAGCTTGCCTTGCATAACTCACTGCAGGAAATAGTACGCTGTGCTGGCAGATCGATCCGTCATGCATTGGTCTGTGAAGCCGCCTCATCCTCTCAGGTTGGATGTGGAAACAGGGAAGATTTCGCTATATTATATATGTAAAGTAACTGCAAAAAGAGCAATAGTACGGCTATGCAGCTACTTCGTCATATC